ATATATTCTGGTTTTTTGGCAGATCAACCACAGCTTTTCTTTCATTTCAAATACAACCAGGGAAATTTAGAGCTAGAAGAGATTTCTGAGGAAACCTAACGTGTTCCCTTTATATTTAGAGAAGGAGCCTCTTAACAGGGGATACTGCTGTTTCCTGAAGATCACTGTCAGTTGTTCCACTGAGAGAAAACCTGGACTGGTGATTAGATTTTATCATTTCTCCATCATGTCTAATTAGCACTGATTTGACATTGGGCATAATGAATTGTAGGGTGATCACTGAATGAAAAAGTCATTGAAGCAATTAGGAATCGTTTGACCATGATGTGTTTGTATCAATGTCTTTATGGAATTACTCTGCTCTCAAAGCTTGTTGCATTTCACATGCCAGTCGTTTTCCAAATGTTAAATTTGGAGCTTTGACATTTTTCATAAAGGTGTTATTTGTCAATGAATTTGAGATCTGATTTTTGAGTTTTTATAAATACCACAATTACATTTTTCCAAACCCTGCCCTACACAATTGTGTGTATCAATCTTTTATCCAAAAAAAAAAAACATGGACTGTTATTTTTTAATCTCTCCTGGACTAACTGACACAAATTTTAGGTCAAAAAAATATTGTGATGAAGGGATCATGGAGCTTTTGCTGGTGTTCTGCTTTAAAGAATGATTGGTTGCAAGGACTGTCAAAAACATTGGATAGGTGTGACATTCCTTATTCCTAGCTGATTTGCAGGTGGCAATTGCTGTGATTTGAACTTTGAAAATGGTTCAAAACAGCTATATAAAGTCTCTGCCTTTCTGTGTCCCTTTCTGTCTCTTTCTCATTTCGTGTGTGTGTGTGTGTGTGTGTGTGTGTGTAATTTCTCATGTGTGTGTTCAAATAAACATGCAGAAAGAAAAGAGGATTTTTAGATTTGTGTACATAAAATTAAAGATAATTACAGTATGATAAATCATAGTTGCCATAATATAGTATTAAGCATTAGAAATAAGACACTTTTAGCTTTTTTATTGTCCTGTATTATATTTGAATGTCATTATGATAAGTATAGATTCCTAATCAATGAATGATTAATGAGAAACATTATTCTCTTATAAGTTCTTTTTTTCTACAAAGTAATTGATTAATTGTTTCCAATAGTCAGTGGGCTTATGTGGAAAATAATGGCCCACCTCTAATTTGTTGAACTCTCATTCTATAATAAACAAAATAATTGTATATGACAGTTCAAGATTGTAGACTTTAAATTTAATGAATTTTATTGATTTTTTTTGTGAAAGTCCAATTCTTACTTTAAAAAACTATGTCTTACCAGGCAGTGGTGGTACACATATTTATTCCCACCACTTGGGAAGCAGAGGCAGGTAAAACTCTGTGAGTCTGAGGACAGCCTGGGCTACAAGAGCTAGTTCCAGGTCAGGATTCAAATTTACAGTGAAACCCTGTCTCGAAAAATAAGCAAAAATCTATGTCTCTGTGTATTATGGTTTCTATGGCTGTGTTAAAGCATCATCACAAAATGCACTGTCCACATCACAGTTAATTATCAATGGTATTCAAGGCAGGAATGCAAACAGAGCAGGACCTTGAAGGCAAGAGATGATAAAGAAGTCAAGGAAGGGTATGGCTTCCTGGATTGCTCCTCATGACTTACTCAGCTTTTTTTCAAGTGTTGCTGTTGAATAAATAAGCTAGATTCAGCGTAGTCTTTTCACAACATCTTGACCTTTTTGTATAATCACTATGTTATTTGCCATAGAGTCATGGCATCCTACTTTATTCTCTATTTCTTACCTACCCGGGGTGATAAATTCACTTGGGACAGAGTCTATGCCTTATTCATTTCTACATTCTCTTCAATACCTCTTAAGTATATTCAACACTTGTTTAATAATTTTAAAATGTATTGATCAATTGTTTATTGCATACCATTATTCAGAGTCATATAGCAACAAATTCAACAGACAATGCCTACACTTGTAGAGCACACAATAAAAACATAAAGTGTTTATCATGCCATTTGTTGATAAATTCTTTGAAAGACAAAAAAAGCATAGGTAGTGTTGTCTGTGGTAGTCTTTCAATGGCAGGTTGCCCTGGGGTGGGACTTATACCTGGCATTTTCAGAAACAAAGCATTAGTACAGCTACAGTTCATGAACAAGAAGAAAACACAATGAGATGAGTTTGAAAAGTTTAAGCTAGGACCCTTGTAAGCTACTGTAAGATTCTGACTTTCATTTTAAGTATACTGCTTCAGAACATATGAGAACATGAAAAACTTACTGTTCTAGTCTATTGCTATGAAGAGACACCATGACCACAACCACTCTTACAAAAGAAAACATTTAATTGGGGCTGACTTCAAGAGGTTTAGTCCATTGTCAGAGTGGAGAACATGGCAACACACAATGAGACATGTTGCTTAAGGGTAGCTGAGAGTTCTATATCTGGATTGGCAAGTAGCAAAAAGAGAAAGAACTACTGGGTGGGTTGGGCATGAGTTACTGAAACTTCAAAACACATCCCCAGGAAATATTTCCTCCAACAAGACCACATCTCCTCAAACAAGGACACACCTCCTAATAGTGCCACTTTCTAAGGACCAAGTATTCAAATCGATAGGCCTATTGGGGCCATTTCTATTCAAAACACCACACATGTATTAAAATGTCCGCTCTGACTACAGGGAAGAAAAATGCTGTCAGACTTAAATAGTATAAATGGGACATTGATTAGGAGAAATTCACAGTACTCTCTCTTGAATACCATTTGATCCAAAGAAGTAGTGAGGAATTAGTTTGGATTTTATTTTTTTTCAAGGATGACAAATTGCACTAAATAATGGAATGCATGATAGGAATCAAGGATCACTTTAACTTCTTGGGCACTGGGGAAGTTATAAACAGAAATCTAGTTTTGACTATACCAAATTTCAGTTGAATTTATAGATAACTATATGGAAATACTCAGCAATCAGCTAGATATTTAAACCTGAAGCAAAGAGGAAGGATTTGATTCATGTAGATACAGAATTGAAAACATACAACGGTATAGACAATGTATATAGAAAATTATATTCAGTGGATTCATGAGTTGAACCTAGATTTAAACATTGCTGAACCAACAGTGTAGAGATGCATGTAGCAACAATTCATTAAATAAGGAGATTATAAATTTGAAGGGAGTAAGAATTTTATAGGAAGACTTGAAAAGAGGAAAAGTAAGGGAGAAGTGATATACTAATCTCAAAGAGTAAAAGAAGTAGTAAAAACACTGTATCTGTCTTCTTTCTCAGGATATAAAGAAACCTAGCTATTTTCCTAAAATGTTTATATAATTTATGTATTGGGTATTGAATAATCTCTAACATAAGTGTCTAGAATTGTGCTAAGTAGTAATACAACAATGAAATTCATAAGTTTCAAGTCTTACCTTCCAGAATCTTAACATTTGCTTAAATAAATCTTCAACATATAAAGCTTTGTTTATACTACAAAGTAGAATGAACCATTTAACATTGGTAACCCACGAACTTTACTGATGGATTTCTGTTTCCCACATGCTTACCATAAATGCAATTGAGATGCCAAGTGTAAGATGCTATATATAGTATAGGAAGCATAGTTTGTATGTCACTTGGAAATGCATATGGTAGATCCATTCTCAGTAAAAGTAATCTCAGCTTTTTTGATACTGAGGTAGGAGGGTCATGAATTTGAGATAAGCTTGGGCTACACAGTAAGGCCATGCCTCAAAATTGCCTATGGAAACCAAGCACAGTGTGTCACACTAGGAATCTTAGTACTTGAGAGACTCGAGTACAGGATTGGTACAATTGATGCAAGTCTGGACTACATAGTGAGTTCCCGTCCATTAAAATTCAAAGTGAAACCTTGTTTAAAAAAATACAAATAAATAAACTGGGTAAAATGATGAAGAAAATGAAGGGATTAATACATGATTTCAAATTAAATATTTAAGCATTATATGGAAGAGAAAGTAGCAGACTTATTGCAGTGAAAATAATGATAAATGTTAAAAAAATAAGTTTTATTAGAAAACCAGGACTTTTGGTATTCCAGAGGACTTTGGCATCTTAAATGGCACTTGATCTCAAACTGTCTGTGATAAGTAGGACAGCTAATGTCTTTACTATCCCTAAGAGCTTCAGAGCTCCTAGCTCAGCAATAGGAGGGTGGGAGTGATGGGGGCTCTTTCAGGGATTTATCATGAAGCTCAAAATTGCTGTTTCTAAACCCAATTTAGATCCTGCTGTTCCTATACCAGTATAGTCACTAGAAATGTAGTTTACATCGTCTCAGTACTATGACAAACAATAGTTTACCACCACCTAAGTCATTAAAAATGCTCTTCAGGCCTGAGCCACAATATGAACACAAGAAGCTCAGTCCCCTCAAGCCCACTTTATTGCATGAGCTTTGGTAGCTGCCTCTTTATATTCAGAACCCTTCCCATCCTCAGAGCCCTAGTATTAAATGTAATATTAAACCAGAAGCAAAGAAATGTTCTTTGTGATTGTGGTTTCTCACTAGTTTCATTTTAAATGTGAGCTGTGCTCGGTTAATATTTATACTCCTGGCCACTTTCAAATCTCATAATGTTTTCTAATCTAACCACTGTCTTTAACATTAAAATCACACTCTAATACCACAGTGGCATTGCCCTTTGCTTGCATTTCAATGTAAATATTTCTGTAAGCTGCACTTCTTTTTACTTTGAGCATTTTTTGATGCTACAACTTCTAGCTTCATCCTAAATGCTTGACAACATATGCACGCAGCACAGAGTGTTATTATTGCCTCTGGCTAGCTTCCTGTCATCTACTTTGTCTTTTGGTTCACTCCTTTGATAGTATTAGCAGACCAATTGTGAATCTGCCAGATGTGTTTCCTTGCAAGAGGACAAATCTAAAACGGCTCATGTTTTTCTTTCTCTTTCAGGATTGCTTTCATTAAAATAAATTCCTTATACTTCTTTCATGAAACTGAGCTTGCTTAATCAAAGATGGAGCAACCAGACTGCAAACCGTATCAACCTCTGTCCAAAGTCAAGCATGAAATGGATCTAGCTTATACCAGTTCTTCTGACGAGAGTGAAGATGGGAGAAAACCACGACAGGCATTCAACTCCAGGGAAACTCTGCATGAATATAACCAAGAGCTAAGGAGGAATTACAACAGCCAGAGTAGAAAGAGGAAAGAAGTGGAGAAATCTACTCAAGGTAGGTTTTTATTGGATTTTTTTCAACTAATATTATTTCTCATTAGGGAATGTTTACATGCATAAACCTATGTATTAAAAAGAAATTTGTTGATGTTAACTGGTTAATAATTCCTACTGCTTACATATGCTCAGTGAATCTGTTCCACATGCGAACCCAGCTGAGGTTGTAGGGAACATGTGCTTTTTATGGATTATGTGTGAATTTGGATGTAACAATCCTCTTATCGGAGCTTTCAGAAGTTGTCTAATCCTACAAATAGCCATTTACAGACGGAAGGATTAAATAATTTATAGTAAGGCATAAATTAAACAGCGAAGTGCTTTTCAAGCCATTGCCCATATGGGACAGGAGTCTCAAATAAATATTCAGCTGTTAAAAAAGAGAACCAGGATAGTAGAGACCACCAAACAAGGGGCTAGAATGCCTATGGAAAGAATGTAAAAAATATTTTGCATTGTAGCTTAAAGGGAAATGAAGAATTCTAAGAGTTTCTTTTAAGAAACACACAGATGTATTTTGCAGTCTATTCTTCAGCTACTGTGGTCTCTCAATAATGGAGAGGCTTAAGAGTTTCTAAAAAAAATCCGGGAGATATGAATACATTTTTTTCAATTAACTACATAGAAAAATATACTGATATTGGTAGAGATTATTTGTTAGGGTCAGACACACTGACAATATTTTAAAACAAGTTTATTTATCTGGCACATTGGTCCTCAAAGTGTGTACCCCTGAGTCAGTAGCATTCACATTAACTGAGAATTCGCTAAAGATTGAAAATCTCAGAACCCACTTTAGAAATCCTTGAAATGAGACCTATACATTTACACTTTTTAAAGGGCCACTGGAGAATTCTGTTGCCTGTATGATTTCTTTGAATTCTTTTCCTCAAATACTTCAATGATCACATATATGTGGGGATTTCCAAATTACATTTTCATTTAGTCTTAATATCCTTCATAAATTAAGTCATAAACATGCAATTACATGTTGAAAATTTTCAAATTAATAGTTTATCAGTTATTTTAAATTCGATATAACTAAAAGGAAGAGAATCATTCCACTACCCCCAATTCCAAACATGTTTACATTGTTGGACATCAGCTTGCTCATGCTTGCCTTTCTTCCAGGCAACCACCAAATTTTCTCTGTGTAACACCTTGCTTCATCCAGCAGAACTGATCTCTACATTTCCAATACACTCAGAGTGTTGCACTGAGATTTCAAAAGCAAATCTACCTGATCTACTTGGACTTTCCTACATCCCCCTTCACCCCTTTGCTATGTTGCTACCTATTTCTTGGCAGCAGCAGAAGATTTTTAGGGATAGAAGTGATGAAAAGGACAGAGCTGGGTGTCTTATCCCTGCTGAGTAAGCACCCTACCCCTCAGCTCCAACTCTAGATGCCTGTCCAACCTCTTGAAATGCCTATCCTGGCTATCTCCCTCTATTGCAGTTCACCTGCCATTGACAGCTTAACTTAAAAGCATCCTTTACTCTCAACTCTCTTACACTGTCACTATACTACCAAACTTCTACTTTCAGTAGATAAACTCTTCTTCCATGAAGTTTAAGGAGATTTTAATTGTATCTCTCACACCCTTTATGGATATTTCTTTCCATATTGTGTACTCAGTGAGGCTGAGCATCATGATTTCTTTACTGATCTTGTTTTCCTGTAAAATTTGCATATGCTATATTACCTATGAGTGCCTTATTAGCAAATGTATATGATGGCATATTTTGCAAGCTGCACTACATCAAATATAGTATTAGAAATTAGACTTATTACATCATAAATTATTACTAAAATGTTGCATTTACAGAACTGAGTCAATGATTTGATATATACTAACATGTAAATGTATATTCTTATTTACAATATCAACTATATTATTCATGATTCAATATAACTTGGAAAGATTTTTCCCTGTCTTTTCAAATAATTCATTTTACTCTGTCATTTCTTTTGCTAAAGATAACTTATATTTGTGCAAACTAAATTCAACTCACTATTGATAAATTTTATTCTTATCAATATTTGAGGTCTCTTGTTCTTTATGAACTGTATAATCACAGTAAAATATTTCTCTGTAAATCTGTCTTTACAAAACAAACAATTGTAAGTTCTAGGTTATGGTATAGTACTATAAAATGGGTGATTTGTGAGTTTAAATAAGAATATACTTGGATATGGTTCTAAGACCATGAAAAATGTTTTGTTAAGTCAATATTAAGATGGTCAACCTCACATTTTGTTTTTGTGCAGTGTGATCAAATGAAATTTAGGATGAGTGCAGTTTCCTTTCTCTAATGTCATGCTAACTTCTTTTCGGGAGAATATTTTAAGCAGCTGGCTTTTGTTTGGCATTTAATGTTAGCCAGACCTGGAGTCCTCTGCTGGAGGTGAAAATTTGCCGCTTGTTGGAAACTCATAGGTGGTGGAAAATACATAATAGCTACACAAATAAATTAGTACAATTTGTGATACGTGCTTTTGAAATAGCCTCCCCATACATGGCTTGACTTTCCAATGGATTTTACTTATATAACCAAGATACAGAATATAATAAAAGAAAAATTCCATAAATAAACCATTTATGTTTTCAATTATGTATCATTCTGACTAGCCTAATCAAGTTTCTCAACAACTGTGTCCCATTTACTGTACAAGCAATCACTTTGTCCAAAATGTTAGTATTATATATGATATCTTCCCTTTAGACTTATATAGCTCTAGTTAAGGGATCAACTGGAAAGAATTAAGGAGCTTGTATTCAAGTAATGTACTTAATACTCCAAAGCATAAGAGTAGAATGCTGTCACCAGTATATGCCACACCAAAACTATAAAGGATATCCTTTAAGTAAAAAGGTGAGAAGTCTGTATTTTTAAATTTTTGAGGAAAAAAATCATATGCTGAGGATGCTGAGAACTATAGTAAGAACAAATCTTTCTACGAAATTATGGAGAAAGGCAAAGAAATTCACACTAGTTTTAAAGTTACACACGAAATTGCTTAAGTTACAGCCAAGATGCATGATAAGTGCTTAGTAAAGAGAGAAAATGCATCAAATTTCTGAGTAAAAGACATGAAAAGAAAATTGGTTCCTACTCTTGGGAACATGTTGTGCCTGAGAGTATTGAAGCCACAGGAAGACGTACTTTAAGAAATAAGTAATGCAAGGTTATTTGCTAAAACTTAAGAGTAGGGATACAGATTCAGGAATAATTTTGGACTAAATGGGTACAAATTGCTGAAGAGGGTTTGTTCTGCTGCTAAGGGTCACTGCGGCACTTACAGCAAACATGAAGTGTATAATTAAAGCAGGCCCACTCAAAAGAGGCTTTGGGTTGCAACAAAACCGACCTTTCTCTAAGAGGATGCTCAATGGAAACACTATTCATAAAAGTGCTGAGGAAGCACTAAGACATAAAACATCATAGAACACATTAACTCAGTATTATACTATAACACTATAGCGGGTATGATGAAGTCGGGCTTAAAATGCATAGCAAAGAACCCTCAGTCTCTCTCTAAAACAAAAACATATTCATCTTCCAATGATCTGGCAACATAACCAAAGCATGTGGATAACAGCCATCTTGTTTCTGGAATGGTTCTATAAATGTCTTGTCCCCAAAGGGAAAACAGTATTTTGAAGAGGAAGGGTTGAAAGTTAAAGCCTTATTAGGAAGGTAATAGGCATTTGGCCATCCTAAATCTATTCATTACCAAAATTAAAATGTCATCATTGTAGTTTTACCCCATTTCCTTGATCAGCATATCATTTGCTTCCCCAAAGCTACATATACCAAACTGGCACTTCGTCAACTTGGCTCAGCTTTAGAAAAACAAATTTTTCTTTTGACAAATATTCTCCAGTGGTGTTGAAGACCAACACCCAGACCATGTATGTATTAGGCATGGTCTGTACCACTGAGCTATGTTCCCAGCCCTGGATCATCTTTCAATTGTCATCTTAATCTGGACCTAATGCAATGTTGGAAGGTATTGACTAGTTCTGGTACAGTCACATACCTTAAACTCAATATGAGGAATTATAAACAGAATGTTCCAGGGAACATTGGAGGGAGAGGAGTAAATATGTTCAGCACGAATTGCATGTGTGCATAAAATTTTCAAAGAACAAAAAAACCCTTAAAATTAGAAATAAAACTTTAGAAGATTGAAAGACAAGAACCCTCATTCACCTCACCTGGGGGGGGGGCAGGCAAGATTCAATGACAACTTGCCATTATTAAAACTGCTAAACCTTTTTAATTAATTTTTTTAAATAAATACTGACTTGTGGGAAGAATAAAATTAGTGAAATAAATTCTTAATGAAATAACTTAAACAAATAGTTTGTAATTACACTTGATAGGTTTCTAGATGATAGGTTTCTGTACCTGATAATGGGTTTCTTCTCCAATTCAGTAAACCAGATCAAGCTGAATTAAAAGTCAAAGACCAGGTTTATTTGGGCAAAGCACTCCCAGGTGACCCTTCAGCCCCTAAAGATCTAGGCAGAGGAATGGGGCTGGAGAGAATTCCCAGGGCCAAACTAAAGGAGCTGGCTTAAATAGCTTGTAGTCAAGGAATGGTGATATGTCTGCCCCAGGCTGGGTTTTTACACAAGTATGGTATGCTTTTAGAGAGGGTCTTGAGCAGCTAGCAACTTCAGGGGAAAGCCCTGCCCCCATCGCTGCATTTCTGGGCTTTTGGCTGTTTTTCTGAGAGGGTGGAATTTGGAGAGGGAGGATGGGCTGATGAAGTAGAGGTGGGCTGGAGATTCCAACTGAACAACACTATTCTGACTGTATCCTGTGGGGGAAAACTAAAACAGTTTTCATCTCCTATGCATTCCAAACCATGAATATTGTCTACTGCCTGACATCAAACCATTGACTCTGTCATGGCTCAGTGGTTCAAGACCACCCAAAGAAAATGTCCTCCTTCTGACCTAACAATACAATCAAGTCCTAGACTTTT